TCTGGGTGACATCTGACCCGGCATGACTCTCTTAGTTCGTGTCACTCTCATATTTGAGGTAGGCAGGTGAAGCATTAGGGGGCTTTGCCCAAACACCCCTACTGATAAGTAAATAAAATAAAAAATAAAAATGTGGTTGTTATGAGTTGAAAATGACTTGATAGCACATTATCTGTATCTAGATCTGTATCTAGATCATCTATATCTTTAGCTATATCTATCTATCTATCTATCTATCTATCTATCTATCTATCTATCTATCTATCTATCTATCTATCTATCTATCTATCTATATCAATGGACATTCATAAAAAATGCTTTATGTGCCCATAACTTTGCTGTGGGCTCTGCATTGGTTAGCAATATACTTTCAGGTACAATGCAAAAGTATATATGATTTAACCTAGAAAGCTCTCTGGCTTGGCACCCAGGTATCTTCAGGACCACCAGTTGTCTCAGTATGAGAAAACTCATATTGAGTTATCATACTGGATTTAGGGTTACTTTGTTATACCACATTATTTTCTTAAGCTGAAATTAGGAGAGGTTTTCTTCTAGCAGAAAAGCACCTTTCAGTACATCTGTGGGCATCCAGTACAAGCTACAATGACAGTGCACGCATCATAATGTTGTCGTGCAAATGACATTCTGTAATAATGCTAATTACATCAGTGGTGGGATTTGCACAGTGATAACACAGTGCATGTGATGTCCTGTGCTGCCCCCCCCCATTGGCCTCCATGGATACATTCCCATAATTCTCAGTTAACCAGTTAATCTTCATGGTAATGCCTGTGAAATATGAGTACTTTTGTTGTTTGTTTTGTTTTGTTTTTGGTATATTAAAGAAATAAAATTAAGCAAAGATACACACTTTTATATCTTATGTTGCATAAAAATTAGTTTGGTTCTATGTTCTAAATATCCTCTGTTAACATCTTAAAATATTGTTTTAAAATACGTTATGTTTGACAATATATTTCTTCTATAAATAAACAACCCTTACTCACAATTTATCATCTTCCATTTTTAAATTTTAAGCTGCATGATATTTTACAACCCTTTCAAAATGTTAATATAACAAACTAATAATTATGTCTGGCTTTCTTTTTTTTCATAACCTATTTCGTTATGATATTATGCTGTTTTCTAAATGAAAATGGATTTTACATTTGGATGTCTGCTAGCAAGGAATTAAACCAGGGATGTTCCAGTCAAAACAACACTTCTGCAGAGATAGATTGGTAAGTTTAAGGACATTTTTACAACAGCAATGAAATGTTTTTAACTTAAATTATTAGGTTCTTTTTCTAAATAATGTACTTATTGATATAAGCAGGAGCTGTCCTTTTGCAAAATGGGTAGCTAGCTGATTGTAGTTACCCCGAATGAACCAAAATATGACACTGATAGGAAGAAAGGTTTTGAAACAAACTTCTTCAGTAATTTGAATTTAGGGCTTTCCAAATATTTTACTAATAATATGAAAGCACTCTGGATTATATATCAAGAAGGAAATTTCATTCAGTCAAACTGAAATGCTTCATATATTACACATTGGCTGTGTTTGCAAGATATATTGCACCAGTACCAACTCTGCTCTTTCCTCTGTGTTTCCAGGATCTATTAGACATTCTGTTACATTTTTTTAATTTAAAAAAAGATATTATTCTGATCATCCAGAGATCAAAGCAATTAAATAAGCTCCTCCCTTACTTTATGGCAGGCCCATGTCTCACAGTTCGAGTAATGTACAACCGTTGTCACCATTCCAGTGTGTTACAAGCAATACTGTAGATATTCCTTAAGTTTTCCTTGTGTTATAGAAATCTGACCATGCAGGGTTTCATGGACAGAAATTGCTAAGAACATGAAGAAAACTATATGAATAGGTGGTGTAGCTATCAAATGATAGCTACTCCTTGCAGAAAACAAAAAAATCCCATGGTAGTCTTTATATTACTACAGCCCAAGATGAAAACTGTTCCTGGTCAAGTTGCATTGCATGTTATTCAAATGACTAATGTGTGAAGAACAGTAATGGGTTTGACAGAAAGATAAACTAGTCACTCATGACGTTTGATGTGATTGCAGCATTTGATGTGAAGGTGGGCCATGGATTACTTCATATATTATCTGGAACATCCAATCTTTTCTTAACTTTAGAGTGTCACCCTTCCTTCCTTCCTTAGTTCCTTTTCTCATGATTTGAAATATTTTGAATCTATAAACATTGTAAGGAAAATAAAAATAATTTCAGGGTGTTAATTAGGATTACAAGGGAGAATGGCTTACTCAGGTAAGGTTTCTTCTTCCTAAATAAATAAATAAATAAATAAATTGGAAATTCATTCCTTTTGTTGCTGTAATTTTTCAGGTCACTTATTATTTGGGTGAATCGAAGCTTACCTTTGTGGGGACTACAGGTAACGTATAGTTTCATTTTTGTAGGTTTTGCAGATGTTTAATAATATTTCAGAGTAATGGATGGATACTTATTAACAGAATGGGGAATTAGTGCAGAGTTGGGGAGAAGTCTGTACCTTCCCAACAAGAATAAGAACCCATGTAATTATCCACATGGCAACTACAATTTCAGTTGCTCACTTTGCCCATCTTCAAATGTGCCCCAGCAGGCATGGTGTTGCTATTCTATTCCTCCAAACTCAGATAGAAGATTTTTGTTCCTCCTTGATTCCACCCTGTGTCAAGAAATTCCTTCCTCTGATGGATGATCTCAGATAATTTCGCTGGAGTTACACCTTTCAACATATCTCTTCACCATCAGTATATCCATATATGGATGTTGAGTTCATCTCTGAGCCCTCTGCATCTGGAGTACTTGGTAAGGCACAAACTTCTCATAATTTGGAAGGTACTCCAAGGGCCTGAAGGCTGTCCTGATGGCCAGATTTTCCAGATTATAAACATAATTCAACAGTGATCTAATACACAAAGTCCACAAAGAATGGTAATAGCATCAACAGCTTTCCTTCAAGGTATTATCCTATCTGGCTCACTGATAAACATTCAGCCGTGTTTCTCAGACACTGGGTTAGACTTGAACTCAGCTTTATGGCTAGATAAGAATCTTTATTGCATACTATTGTGGAACCCTGTCAACGTGAAGATGCAGCTCCCTCTTTGTACACACTGTAGTTTATTTATTATTTTTATACCATCACAACCATAAGAACTTTGGTGGTAAACAAAAAAATATCCACAATGCAATTCAGTATATAATACCAACAGTTCAAATGCACAATCATCTAAAACCAGAGCAACTTACAAAGTTTAATTATTACAGTATCCCTCTTTCTCCCCCTGCACTTCTCAGTCTTGAATCTGGAATGTTGCTTGTTGACACAACATGACTTCTCTGCCCTGAAAAACTCTGGCTTTTAACTTGTGAACTACTAGAGTTACACTAGGTAACAACGTGGACTCAGACCTCCACATTCATCCAGCTCTTTAAAAAGAGGAAATATTTAGACATAGTGTTCTCTCTTCAGTCATCTCCTTCAGGAAAGAAGGTTGCTACTCAGCCATGTATTTGAACCACAGATACAATGAAGAATTGGTAACTGACCCATAGCTGGTATTTATCACATAGTCATGTTTGAATTCACACAATTTACTTTATATCCCACCTGCTCTCAGGTGACTTTACTGTCGTGTTGGATCAGCTGTATCAGTTTTAGGAACTGAAGGAGTTCTGCAGAAGCCACAACTAGTTACCTAGTATGAAAGAAGGGCAGTGTCCTCCCAAATCATGGTTAGTTCTAGAAGTTTCCAAATGGGACTGTGTACAAGGGCATGATCCAAGTGTGCTAATTCAAGGAAGACTCCTCAAAAAGCTGCAGTTACAAATAAATAATCAGTTATTATCTAATCTTGTAATATGGCATTCAGGGGTTTCCTGTTACTTGTTCAGTGATGATAGAAGAGAAAACTTTTATTGTGCTGTTAAGTCACAATAGAAGCCTTAATAGATGAGAGACGAGGGAATGGAGATAGATGTGTGACTGCTATTTCTTGCAACTTCTATACTCTGAAAGTAATATTTAGCTAACCTGTAGAGCTAATTATAACACAGCTTCAATCTGGATAGTATTAGTAAAAACATAAGAAGATAAGATAAAAATAGGCTTGCTAGATCAGATCTAGGCCCAGTTTTGTGCAGCATTTTGCTCTCACAGTGGCCAACCAGATGCCTCTGCGGAGCTCAAAGCAGGAAGTGGAGATTTGCAGCTCTCCCACTGTTATACACTATTATACACTGTTATTACCACTGTAACTGATATTTGGAGGCCCACTATCCCAAACCCAGGTTGCACTGAATCATTAATAACCTTTGACAGATCTATCCTCTACGAGCCAATCAGTATTGACACAAACCAAGCTAGTGGCCATCATCCTATTTTGTAATATGGAACTCCAGATTAATTCTGGGCTGTGTGGAGAAATGTTGTTATTGTTGTTCTAAATTTAAGACTAATCAGCTTTGTTGGATGATCTCTGGTTCTGACTTTTTGAGAAATTCTCCCTGTCCATTTTGTCCATGTCATGCTTAATTTTTACACTTACATACTGCAAATTGAACTGTATTTTCCATTTGGTTGCCCATTCATCCAATTTAAATTTACTTTTTTTGGAGCTGTTCACAAACACTCGTCATTATCATCACCTTGAATAGTGTAGTATCATCTGCAAATTTAGGCAGCATAGTGTGATTACTCTAAGTCAAGATAATTTATGAATAAATTAAGAAGCCCTAATCGCAGCACAGATCTCTGTAGTACTCTACTTCTTATTCCATTGAGAAAATTGCTCATTTATTCCTACACTTCACTTTGTTTTTTCCCCCCACTCAGTTATCAGTCTATAAAGAACAGTTCCTCTTATCTCTTGACCACTGAGTTTTTCTCAGAAGCTTTTCAAAATCCAGCTATAAAGTGTTTGCATCACCTCCATCATGTGCCTGTTGTCACTCATAAACAACTTTAGAAGGTAGATTTACCATTGCTGCATCCATACTAATTTTCCTTCAACAAGGCTTTTTCTTTTGTCTGCTAATTATTTTTTTTCCTATGATTACATGTCTACCACTTTGATGTATTAGTACATTTTTATGTAGTCTGTACAATTGTACAATGCCGCTTAATGTCCCTTTAAAAGGATCTGGGAAGAAAGTTTTTTTTCCCTTATCTATCTCATTTACTTGAATTGATAGTTTTGAAATTGTTGCTGTATCAGCTTTGGAATACTTGATAACTAATAACTTTTATCAGTTTTTTCCCCTTAGAGTTTCCTCTGTTTGCCACCCTGAGTCACAATGGCAAGATGGGTGGCTATATAAATTGATATAGTAATATAATAAGTAATAAACAAATGCTAGCAATTTGTGAATTAATAAAATTATTTTAATTCTTTTATTTGGCACTGATATATAGAAAATCCCTGCAGCTTCTGCTATGATTGAGCACATTTGGAATGGAAAGGTACTTCCTATCAGAGCATATAGACATGTCATTTTTCCTTGATAGGAAGGTAGTAGTACTAATGAATTTCCTTCTACCTGTAAGGTCAAGGGAAATTCTTCAAGCCTAATTCTTTCACATCTTTTCTAGTGCATGAAGATAGGAGTGCAGGAACAACCCTGCTGAACAATGGGGAACATCCTCTTGATTGGATAGCAGTAGTAGTTTCTGTAGCTGATGTGACTTCCTGTCTTTAAAACTAGTGGTTCAGGAACACATTACCCATAATAAACTGCGCATGCAACTGTTATAAGATTTTATGGCCCTTTTAAATAATTAACGGAGAATGTTGAAATGATTAGAATTCTGAAGACTTCGTCACAAAATGAAGCATTCATTCATGCTAACCGCACCATCTGATTCACTTCAGCTAGAATCAGTGTTACTTATTTGGAGACATTTCAACATTTCCCCAATGTTGCTGATATTTCTATACTTTCATAACTTGTAATATCTGTGCTGAATCTTGATTATGCATTTGTTCGGTGTTCTGGTCATTCATTAATTTGGGATGGCTGTTTAAAATTAGAGTTGCTCATGCTAATCTTTTATTTAGAATTCCAGACTCAGTAATGATATATGTCTCCAAATACCAGTTCATAGAATATTTGGTAGTTATGCAGTTATTTTAAGCTGTTTGTTTGGTTTTTAATAGCAGTTTTGAAATTAATGGGGCAGTACTAGTTTGAAATGACAGAGTAAAATTCTTTTATAACATATTGTATTTTAAGACCTGGAAAGAGTCAAATTAATTCAGGAATCAAGTTATCAGCTTGGATGATGCAGCTTGGGACTTATAATGATTTTGTAAGTTCCATAAGTATAAGCCACCAAGGAATGCTACTCTGCAGCTACCATTAATTTCATTATGATACCTGGAAAACTTGTATAAGTTCCAAAGAAGTGAATGGATTCTGGGAAGCATTAGTATCTTGGCAGATGGCCCAGGTAGTTGATAAAACACAATTCTAACAGTTCTCTGTAATACATTAATGCCACTAATTCTCTGTAATGCTGCCTTTAGTTCATGTTAATTTATGTATGTTGTATAAAAATAGAGGATAGGTTTCTGAATACCGGATAACTGGGTTCAAACAGCAGTGGGAAGCTGTCATATTCATGCTATGTTTCTGGAGAGCCAGAGATATTTAGATGACCAGTATTGGAAAAAGAATACAGGAATAAATCAAATTCAGGGCAAAATCATTCTTAGTCTGATATGGCAAGACACTTCTGTGCACTGGCTTATTGTATGGATCAATACTCAGTCTTCACAAATTAGCTGTTCCTGAATGATTAATGTCTACAGTGCTGGGAAAAATAGGTAATGTTTATATGTATGTTGGTCAATCAACAGAACAAAGTAGAATGCATAAAACAGACTGTTGGTTTGAATAGTCAAAATGCAAAGGCATTTGTCTGCTGAATTATAAAATGAGGCACAGGTTAAGAAATTAAAGGATTTTGAAAATTTGAAGACTAAATTCTGTGCTCATTTTTCACCTAGTTTTGATTGCTTTTGAGTCCTATACATATATTTCTATGTTTGCTTAGTCCTCAAAAACTGCCAAATTTTACATGCATGTCATTCCTCTAGGTATCAGTGGCTTTAATAAGTCTGTTGGAAACTACACTTCTGAGCTATCTCAGTTATAAAGTAAGTACTTAGAATAATATTCTTCCAGAGTCAAAGTACATTGTGATCTAGTGTTTTGCAGTGTGATACTCTAGGCATAGTAGTAGAATTAGTCTTCAAGTATAATATTTAGATAATGGCAGAATTGTCTGTTTTTAAAATCGAATGCAGTAAAAACCCTAGCAATTAAATAAATGTAAATCCTGATAAATCTGTCTCTCTCTCTCCCCCTCTCCCCATACATACATACATACACTAGACAACCTGTGACTGGTTGGGTCATCATTTCAGAGATATTTCCTTACCTAAACAGAGAAACAGAATGACCAAGGGCAAAAAATCAGTGGAAATGTGAGCGACTTGAGACTTGTTGCTGGCTTCCCCATTGACTTTGCTTGTGGGAAGCTGGCAGGGTGTCAAAAATTCCTTCCTCCCTTTTCCTTCCTTCCTACATATAATATAGGCTTGTCCCATTTGCCCTCCCCTCAGAACCCTCAGGAGACCCCCGTGAAGCCGCCTCCTCCGCACCTGACCAGTGGAACTGCCTGCCACTTTGCTGGGGGAGGTGGAACAAAGGAAGCTGCAGACCATGAGGAAAATTGCACCCCTGCTCCCTATTCTGGGGTATCCCCAAGGGTTCCCTTCCTTGAGGGAGAAAGAGGGCTCACCCGTTGACCACTGGCAATCCCCAGCCAGCCCTACTTTACCAGCTGGTATCAAAGTCGCTCCCTTATCCTTCCCTCAATGCCCACAGCCATAAAAGAGATTTCAGATTTCTGCCTCATTTCCAAAGCAGGCAGTTGCCACTCACTGGGCCTTGCTGCCTGCTGATTGGGCACAGGGGACAAAGGGAGGCAGGAAAGAAGTTGGAGATATGCCCACGGCGATCACGTGACCTGGGCTGATCACGACGATGCAGCAGCACAGTAGTGCTGAAGCAGCCACACATTTCCCAAATTTCAATCCCACAGGAGTAATGGGTTCCAGATTTTGGATGCATTCTGTAACTTAGCCCATTTGAGGTACCTTTGTTCAAAAATTGTTGCCCTGTGACGTACCATTTCGTCCAGTTGAAGGTTACAGACACGAGAGTTTTAGTAGTATACAGTGGGACAAAAATGTATTTAGTCAGCCACCAATTGTGCAAGTTCTC